TACTTCTTGCCCATTGAATATGAAGTTTTCTGTAGGTTTGTCACATATGGCCTTTATAATGTTGCGATATGCTCCCTGTATTCCCACTTTGCTGAGAGTTTTTATGAAAAAATGGGTGTTGGATTTTGTCAAATGCTTTTTCTGCATCTATTGATATGATCATGTGATTTTTGTCTTTCAATTTGTTCATGTGATGTATCACATTTATTGATTTGTGAATATTGTACCAGCCTTGCATCCCTGGAATAAATCCCACTTGGTCATGGTGTATGATCTCTTTGATATATTGTTGGATTCGATTTGCTAGAATTTTGCTGAGGATTTTAGTGTCTATGTTCATCAGGGATATTGGCCTGTAGTTCTCTTTCTTTGTCATGTCTTTATCTGTTTTGGGGATGGGGATAATGCTGGCATCATAAAAAGAGCTTGGAAGTATCCCTTCATTTTGGAATTTTTGGAATAGTTTGAGCAGGATAGGTGTTACTTCTTCCTTGAATGTTTCATAAAACTCCCCTGTGAAGCCGTCCAGTTTAGGGTTTTTGTTTGCTGGGAGTTTTTTTTAATTACTGCTTCTATTTCCTCAGTTGTTATTGGCATATTCAGGTTTTCTGATTCTTCCTGATTCAGTTTGGGACATTGTATTTTTTCTAGGAATTTGTCCATTTCATCCACATTGTCCACCTTCTTGGAATATAGTTGTTCATAGTATTTTCTTACAATCCTTTGTATTTCTATGGTGTCAGAGTTTACTTCTTTGGTTTTGTTTCTGATTTTATTTATTTAGGTCTCTCTTTCTTTCTGGATGAGTCTGGCTAATGGTTCATCAACCTTGTTTATCTTTTAAAAGGACCAGCTCTTGGTTTCATTGATTTTTTTGTATTGTTATTTTAGTCTCTATGTCATTTATTTCTGCTGTAATCTTTAATATTTCCTTCCTTCCTTTTCTTGTTGTCCCCTTTCTAATTCTTTAAGTTGTAAGGTTGAATAGTTTATTATTAGTTTTTCTTATTTTTTGAGGAAGGCCTATAGTGCTATGAACTTCCCTCTCAGGACTGCTTTTGATGTGTCCCAGAGATTTTGGGTTGTTGTGTGTTCATTTTAAATTTTTTCCAAGTAATTATTTTACTTTCTAGATCTCATTGGTAACCCATTCATTGTTGAATAACATGCTATTTAACCTCCATGTGTTTAAATGTTTTTGAGACTTTATACTGTAGTTGATTTCTATTTTCATTTCTTGTGATCTGTTTCATATGATTTCAATTTTCTTGCACTTATAGAGACTTTTTTTCTGTCCTAACATGTGGTCTATCTTTGTGAATGATCCATGTGCACTTGAGAAGAATGTATATTTTGCAGCTTTGCGGTGAAATGTTCTTTTGAACCATCTAATCCAGTATGTCATTTAGAATCACTGTTTCCTTGCTAAATTTTGTCTGGAAGATCTATCCACTGAAGTCAGTGAGGTGTTAAAGTTCCATACTATGACCATACTGTTGTCTATCTCTCTAGAATATATATATGGTGTGTATATATTTACCAGGGATATATCTTCTTGTTAGATTGATCTATATATATGGTGTGTATATATTTACCAGGGATATATCTTCTTGTTAGATTGATCCCTTTAGTATTATGTAGTGACTTGCTACACCAGCTTTTTTTGTTTCTTTTTGCATGGAAACTTTTTTGCGTCCCTTCACTCTCATCCTGTGTGAATCTTTTGTTATTGCATGGAAACTTTTTTGCATCCCTTCACTCTCATCCTGTGTGAATCTTTTGTTATGAGGTGGGTCTATTGTAGACAACATATAATTGGGTCATGTTTTTGTATCCATTCAGATACCCTACGTCTTTTGATTGAAGCGTTTAATCCATTTACACCTAAGGTTATTATTGATAGGTACTTATTTATTGCCATTTTAATTCTGTATGCCTATGTTTCTCTCTCTGTTTCCTCTTCTCATTACAGGAGTCCCTTTAGCATTTCTTGCAATGCTCGTTTGCTGATGATAAACTCCTTTGGTCTTTTTATTTGTCTGAGAAGCTCTTTATTTCACCATCTATTTTTAATTATAGCCTTACTCGATATAGTAATCTTGGTTTCAGATCCTTGCTTTCCATTATCTTGAGTATTTCATGCCATTCTCTTCTGGCCTATAGAGATTCTGATAGAGAAATCAGCTGACAGCCTTATGGGAGCTCCTTTGTAGTAACAGTTTGTTTTTCTCTTGCTGTCTTTAAGATTTTCTCTTTGTCTTTATTTTTGGCACTTTAAGTATTGTGTGTCTGTACATGGGCTTGTTTAAGTTCTTCTTCCTTGGGACTCTCTGTTCCTCTTAAACTTGTCTGACTTTTAACTTCACCACGTTAGGGGAGTTTTCTGCCATTATTTCTTCAAACACATTCTCTATCTCTTGCTCACTTTCTTCCCCTTCTGGCACACCTATTATGCAAATATTGTTATGTTTTATGTTTTCCCACAGCTCCCTTACACTGTCCTCCTATTTTTTGTTTTTTCTTTTTGGTTCTCTGATTGCAGGGTTTTTTCTACCCTATCTTCTAATTGGTAATGTGATTCTCAACTTCCCCTAATCTTCTGTGTATTCCTTCCATTGTGTTCTTTATTAGTGCTATGTCTTTCTTCATAGTTACTTTATCATTTCTCAATCTGTTGAGTGTCTTTGCCATCATTATCCTGAACTCCATGTTTGATAAATTTATTTTTTAAAATTTTCATAAGTTTGTTATCTCCATTTCATTTAGCTCTTCTTTTGGAGAAGTCTCTTGTTCTTTCATTAGGGTGTTGTTGTTTTTGTCTCCCCATTTTGGCTGCCTGTTTGGTTTTGTGCCTATGTATTAGGTAAATCTGCCATGGCTCCCAATTTCTAGTGCAGGACAGTGTCAAATGCTGTTTCTGACTAATTAGAATGGCAAAGACTCAAAGCCTCCAGAGACTCACCTCTGCTGCAGACTGATTAGATTCAGTCTTGAGTAGTTTAAGACAATTGTCCACAGGTGGGCCAGAGGTTTTCCAACAAGACAGGACAATTGCTTCTGCCTGGAGGCTAATTGTTATTCTCAGTCTCTTAATGGGCCTCAGGAATTCCACAGGGTGGGGCAAGGGGTTTTCCAATTGGCTGAGGTAACTGTCTTCCTCCAAGGCAAAAACTTCCTGGATAGTAAGGATCTGCCTGCGAAAGATGTCCTCCACAGCATGAGGAAATGATTCAGCTCAGGAAACCAGGGTGTCTGCCCTCAAAGCTCTAACTCCAGAGCCCCAAACCCTGGCTTCTCTTCACACAACTTCAGTCCACTCTATACTCCCTCTGCCAGAGCCTAAGGATGCACACAAAAGTTTTGTGTTGGCACTTTAAAAGGTTGCCTGCATTTCTAGCTCTCTCTCCCTGGCAGACAGCAACCATGCTGCTTTACACAGCCAGATGTTATGTGGGCACCGTTCTCAGTTCTGGTGCTCTCTGCTGGGGTTTCCAGCTTGTGGTTTAGACCCCAGAGTTTTCAGTGGCACCCCTCACAGTTGAGATATCTCTCTGGAACTTCAGCTGCTGTCTGTGGGAAGCCAACCATCCATCTCATGCCTGTGCCCTTCCTACTGGCCTCTATGCAGTCTCCACTTTCTGGCCTTGGTTATCATGGTTTTCTCCACAAGAGTCTTCATTTGATAATTCAAGATGGTGTGTGGTTTTTTGTTTGTTTGTTTGTTTTTTGTTCTTGTCTTTTAGATGTAATCCATTTTGGTACTGGGAGCATTTCTGTGTAGCATCCACTTGCTCCACTGCCATTTTTAATGTCTAATTGTGTCTTGTTATATTAGATCATCTAGTTACTCTGTGCCTTTTGCTTGATGAATTCTGTCTGTTTAGATTTAGAGAAATTATTAATATGTAAGTGTTGAACATTGCCATCTTATTCATTCCTTTCTAGTTTTTATTTTTTCCTTCTCTTTCTGCCTGCCTTTGTAAATTGGTGATTTTCTGCATTTATTTTACTTCATTTTTATTGTTGACATTATTACTGATGTCCTCCATCTCCCCCTGCACACACACACTTTGCAAACCTCCACCCAGCCCTTCCCCCTCATTCCTCTGGCCACCATTTCACTGTTGTCTGTGTTCATGGGCTATATATATATATGTTCTTTCAATAATTTCCTCACCTTCTTTCATCCGGTACCCTCACCAGAGTGTGATAGTGTTTTAAAAACCTGGGGTGGGTAAGGGCTGGGTAGATGGAGGCAAAGGGGTAAAATGGGGGACGTATGTAATAATATCAACAATTTTAAAAGACAGGAGAGTTTCCCTAGCTGGTTTGGCTCAGTAGATAGAGAGTCAGCCTGAGAACTGAAAGATCCCAGGTTCAATTCCAGTCAAGGGCACATGCCCGGGTTGTGGGCTAGATCCCCAGTGGGGGTCTGCAGGAGCTAGCCAATCAATGATTTTCATTGCTGTTTCTTACTCTCTCTCTCCCTTCCTCTCTGAAATCACTAACAATATTTAAAAAAATAAAATAAAATACAGGAGAGTACATGGATATCATTAAATGGCATAAGAAGTGACAGAGATAGGTGGGAAACATTTCAACACAGGTTTGATAGAAACAACATGAGGAATAATAACTGGTGTTATCCCTCTTGTCTTTAAAATAAATATCAAGCTACCAAAGTATGTACATTTTCAAATGGCAACCTTCACACAATGCTCTCCCTACAACTGATTTTGTGGAATAGAAAGTGCCAAAATCCAGACTATTAAGTTGCAACTCACCCAGCAACTAAGTAGCTGTACATGTTGAGAACACCCACAAAGATATCTTGTATACACACACACACACACACACTGAAAAAATTTAAACAATAATACACTTGTTGGAACAATGAAAGAAATGGAGGAGAAAGCCTTAAAGACTTGCATGTTGATACTCCCAAATTGTTTGAGATGTGGATGACACTTCCAAGGACTAACTGTCTTTTCTGTCCACAGCCATGGACCCATCCAAGTCCCCCTCTGATGAGCCCCTTCTCAAAGGGAAAAGAAGGCAAGATCTCCAAGAGATGCTGAGAGAAGTAGGACTGGAAATTGAGTACTGGTTGCCAAAGCTGCAGAAACACCTTGGTGTGAGCTGTGCCCAGGCCTTACAACATGTAGAAGAAAGAGAACTCCAGAAACTCAAATCCCAGGCAAAACATTCCTGGGAGAAAAGGGCTCTGGAGAAGCTCCTCAAGCTGTCACACTCACCTAGCTTTTCAGAGTTACAGGAGTCTCAGGGGAAAATGATAAAGAAAAAGAAGAAGAAGGAAAAGCAAATGTGGAAGGAGCGAAGATATTTCAAATCAGAAGAGAGGCAACAACAGCAACAAGAGAAAGCGAGGGGGAAAAAGACAGACCTGAGGTGGGCAATGGAGCTCCCCAACAAGAATAGGCGACCCCCCGAAAAATCCCTGCAAGAAGTCATGGAAAACATGGAGGGAAAACTCAACCTCAATGAGAGGACACTGTCTCACAGGCAAAACCTCCCAGATAGAAATCTGGTGAGATGGGCATCTGGAGGGCTGGCCCTGCAGGGAATTTACAAAACCAGCTCCCACAGGAGCCTTCTGGAGAAGAGAGAAGAGCTACTCAGTGTCCCCCAGGAGTTCTTACTCTTTGGCCCTGAGCACAGCACACGAATGGGAACCTGGGAATTTACATCTTCTCAAGCAGAATCCATGTTCACCAAGATGATAGAGAAGCTGGGGTTCGGTGTAACTGCATCAGCCAAGGGCGGAGGTTGGGGACTTTGCTTGGAAGCTGTTATGGACCACAGCAAACATTCAGAATCCAAGGAAACCCGACAGTCACATCCTGAGCACTCCTATTTCTGCTCTACCAAGTTCAGCTATGTCCCACTTGCCTCCTGCCACTTTCCCATGGATCAGCTCCAGTTCTCCAAGGCTGCTCTCCAGGAACTGAAATGCATTGATGACCTTCTGTGTGAGCCTGCAGATCCAGACAGACTCCCCTTGCTAAGGGGCAGGACTGAAGCTTTTTTCCACAGGTTTGGCTCTCATGCTAACCAGGGCCCTCTGCACCTGGGAGGAATCTACTGGTGGAAAGCCACTTCGGAGGGTTTCTGGAGTGAGGAGCTGGAACAAGTAAAGGAACAGTCAGCAGAGATCCTAAACAGGTTCATAAAGGGAAGCTACAGCAGCTTTGGAGTGAAAGTTGCTGCAGGTATGGATGAGCCAGACTCTTGTTCAGAAACAGCCGCCCAAAGCACAACCTTCCAAAGTCTCCAAACCAAAGTCCAATTATCTGTGGCCCAGACAGGTGGCCCACCAGAAGCAAATGGCTTTCTCCAGTGGAAAGCTGGCCTAGTTGCCAGTAATCAAACCTGGAGTGTCATAGACCGGGGCCTTCAGCTGGTGCCCGTTTGGGACATCATCCTCTCCAACCACGGAAGTGATTTTAAGGATCCTTTTCAGGTGGCTAGCTTACTGAAGGATAGCTACACTGCTCTGACTGGTATCTCTGCCCAGATCCAGGATGGAGAAGACTTACTGAGTGTTGAAAAGGAGGCTAGGGTTTTCCTAGAGGATGTGAAATCTTGGGAGGTATCTGATCCTAAAAGCCAGCTTAAAAAACTGATAAATTTCATGCAAATGTTGAGTCAAAAAATAAAAAGTTATGACGCTTGGGTTAACATATGCCTCACAGACTGGGGTCTGCAGAATTTTCTGGTAAACACTGTTAACTTTTGCAAAAAGTCTTCCAACTATGTAACTAAGTTTATTAAATCTCAGTTGTGCAGCCTTTTGGATCCTCACATCTACAGAGTGAGTAACTTCCCTCAGGCTCATTCCATCATGCAGTGGGTCTTCCAGTCAGAGTCAGACCAGGAGCCTATGAACATCACCCATTTATCTGAACTAATTAAAATCTTAAAGGAAACCAAGAATGACCTCATGGAAGTGGAGGTGAAATCTGAGCCTGCCGAAAAAGTGGAGGAAGCTCAGAGAAAGGCCTCTTGTGAGGTCAGTTTGTCTCTTGGCTGCTTCTTGAATTACCTCCAAGAAACAGAGCAGCCAGACACACACCTCTTGCTACTTTGCATTGCAGCTGGTGCAGGGTATCATGTGGTACACAATACGTTTCAGTATCCTCTTGGGTTTCATGAGTTAGACTTCCTACTGGATACAATGCAAACTGCACAAGATAAATACCAGGAACTCAAAAATATTTGCACCTACAGAGCTCAGGCATTCCTCGTGCTCACAGGTCTTACAGCTACCAGTGGACTCACAGATGTTTCCCCGGAGGAGAAAATACAACGTTTGGTATTAATAAGCCATCACCTGGGTCAGTATTTATCAAAGGAAGTTGCACATGTCCTCTCCAAATCAGGAGCAGATCATGATTGGAAAAACTTAGAGAAAGACTTGAGATTGCTCATTGATGGTAATTATGAAGACACCATCTCCTCTTTGCAAATAGATGAGATAGGAAAAAACTTGCAAAGGAAGTTCCCTAAAAAGAAACAATCCGATGAACCCCATGATAATAGAAATACCAAATGGGAAGTCATAGAAGATACAGCCTTTCTGAGATTACTACAGAGTCTAGGATTAAAACATTACTACCCAAAAGGGATGAGCAGAGCTAACTTCCATCTGATCAACAAGACTTCTGTATACAACAGCAAACCCAGATCTGAAAGGGAGCTTCCCTTATATTTTTTTCAGAAGCTACAAGTGCTGGATTATGAGCTGAGATACCTAGTCTTCAAAAATGATGAAAACACACAGAATCAAGTCTATCCAAGTGCCTCAAATCAGGAAAATGAGACTTTTGATCCATATGAAGACATGCTTGAAGACAGGAATACTCCCACTAATCCTTCACCCTCTAATCCTAAGCCCCATATTCACCCTATGGATATTCAGATGGCAATTCTTCACTGTGCAGATAATTTTGCCAGACAGTATATTTTGTCCAAACTTTCCATGTGCCAGTTTGCACTCCCTCTTCTCATACCTAATCCCTGCAGTTCTCAAATTGAATTCTCTCTCTGGTCTCTCAGTCAAATTAGAAGGAGCTGGCAGGAAGCAAGGAAAACACCAAGAGAGGAGAAGATCAATTACAAGCATAAGCAGATGTGTAGAGTCTCTACCCCCATTGTGTCCTTTATAAGAGTTGGAAATGGCTTCTCTGCTTCCAAATCACAGATCATGAACTGTCTTCTCAGTAAACGTAAACATGATGTGTTTTTCCACCGACATTGCAGAGGGAGCACCAAAGACTGTCTCTTGATGGGGGGAGTGGTGGAAATCTGCTGGTTCTGCCCTGGGGGAGAAGATGAGGACAGATTTGACAACTGTGTGACCTTCACCAATCTCCATGGAGATGCAAAGGAACATAAGAAGCAACTCAATTTCTTGCAGGAGGTCTCTTCTCTCTTTGTTGTCCTTATGTCAACTTCTGATGACAATAAAGAAAACCGAAAAATTATTCGTGATCTGAGTCAGTCACAAAGACCTTTGATTTGTTTACTTGATAACAAAGAACAAACTGTAGCCAATAATTCTAATGAAAAAGTGATAATAGGAATCAGGAACCGAAATGAAGCAGAATTAACAGAAGAGCTAGTTACTACAATGAGATGTTTGCTGGAGCTCTCGGACACTGTTCTCAGCTTAGAGGAATGTGTAGCAATTGCTCACAAGCAAGGATTTCTTATTGACGAAGACCAGAAAGATTGCAAGGAAGCCAGAGAAAAGGCAGAGGTCCTAATAGCTCTACTGAAAGAAATGAATATATCGCAGATAAAGGAAAACTTACTACCCCTTCAGGGACACCTATGGCATCGTTGGTGTAAAAAGGACAAAGAACTCTATCATCTAAGAGAAAAAGGGAATCGAAGTATTGAACAACACAAGAGTGAGATTGAGACAGAAAAACAAAGAATACGGAGGGAACAGTTGACCAGAGCTTTTCCTCTCAATGACTTGATGCATTCTGTTCTTGAAATTCTCCAAAATCATTCAGAAACTCCACCCACACACTACTTTTTGCAATGGCTGAGTGTGTTTTTGGACAACCTGACTTCAGGACACTTGGAAAAACTAAATGAAAAGAAAAACAATTTGTGGTCACTGATACAAACAGAAAAGCAAAAGGCACCAAAGAGCCCTGACCTCCAACACTGGCAAAGAGAGATAGAAGCTATCTCCACAGAGATTAATAACTGTACCTTTGGAATTGAGCAAATTCTTAGAGAAGTTGGCCAGATCTATGAAGCTCTGGAAGAAGCGTCTCACACAAAACCTATGCCTTACCTCTCCCTTCCCCAGATCGCTGCAGATCTGATGATATCTGGTGTTCCCATTGAACTGATGGACGGGGATGCTTCATATGTGCCTCTAAAGTGGGTGGGAGCTGTTTTTGACAAGGTCTCTGAGAAACTTGGAAACAAACGGCTATTTGTTCTCTCTGTCCTTGGCCTACAGAGCTCAGGGAAGTCCACTCTGCTGAATGCACTTTTTGGGCTGCAGTTCACGGTCAGTGCTGGGAGGTGTACCCGGGGGGCCTACATGCAGCTCCTGAAGGTCGAAGAGACTTTCACAGAGGAACTGGGCTTTGACTTTGTGCTTGTTGTGGACACAGAAGGCCTTCGTGCCCCAGAACTCAGCAACAAATCCAATAATCGTGACAATGAGTTGGCAACCTTTGTCATTGGACTTGGAAACTTGACTCTGATCAATATTTTTGGGGAAAATCCATCAGAAATGCAAGATATCCTACAAATAGTGGTTCAAGCCTTTATGAGGATGAAACAAGTAAAAATCTCCCCAAGTTGCCTTTTTGTCCATCAGAATGTGGGGGAAGTTACAGCTAAAGATCAAACTATGGAAGGAAGGAGGCGGTTAGAGCAGAGACTAGATGAAATGGCCACAGCTGCAGCTGAGCAAGAACAGTGCTCAGATGTAACCCACTTTGGTGATATCATTAAATTTGATACCAATACTGATATCTTCTACTTTGCTCACCTCTGGGATGGCAATCCCCCAATGGCCCCTCCCAATCCTCGCTACAGCCACAATGTTCAGGATCTAAAAAGCAGAATTCTTATGGCTGCCAAACAGGAGTCGAGGGGAAGCATCATGAAGATCTCAGATGTGAAATTGCGAGTTCAAGATCTGTGGAGAGCCCTGCTGAGTGAGAACTTTATCTTCAGTTTCAGGAACACTCGAGAGGTCATGGCCATGAGCAAATTGGAAACTATGTATAACTCCTGGACCTGGAAGCTGAGGAGTTATGTGCTAGACTTGCAGAACCAGCTCATTAACCAGATTAAGAATGGGAAAATCCAGAGAGTCACAGCAAGCACTCTTGAGGCTCCAGTTACAGAAAAATATAAAGCCATCCAGCAAGAACTGGAAAAATATTTTAAAGAAGATCCAGATAGTGAAGTCATTATTCAGTGGAAAGCAAGTTTTGAAAATAAACTAATAAATCTTAAAGAGGCACTTATTTTTGAGAGCAAAAATAAAGCCGAGGGACATATAAGTTATAAAAAGAATCAAGAAATACTGGATAACAAAAAATCAGGTTATGAAAAGGAATTATTGGAAAGAAGCCGAGAATTGGCTTTAACTGTAAAGGACAAAGAATTGAGTGAGGAAGAGCTGCATAACAAATTCAATCAACTTTGGGGTAAATGGGTCTGTGATGTGTCCTCAACTGTCCCTCCCGGCACAGAGCCTAACATCGATGTGGATTCTGAAGACATCCTTTTGGACTATTTTAAACAGGAGACAGACATGGTGAATATACTGAAGAAAAAGTCTAGAAAGGAGTTTGAAATCAATTATGAAAAACATATCAAAATGTGCAGATGGTATGGTTTATTACCAAGGTACTTAGAAGTACATGATATAGAGTCCGTAAAGAGGACTACTGGCCACATTATTTCAAGATACACTAAAAATATTAAAAGCCTCCAGGGGCAACAATGTGATTATGACCCAAGTTATTTCCATGAAATCCTGAACTTAATAGAAGAGGAGGTGAAATCTGCACCCACTAAAGACAGATATACATTTACAAGTAAGTACAAAATTGACTTATCTTTGTCTTTATTCCAAAGAGCATCTGAGAATTTTAAGGAGATGCATATGGCATTCAAAAGAGCAAATGATCCTGTAAATTATTTGGAAAGCAAAAAAGATGATTTCCTCATGAGTTTTAAGATCTCTTGTCAAGGAGCAACCACAGTCACAGAATTTGTTGATTTTCTATGGCACAAACTCACTCCTGCTGTCTCCAACACGATTTGGCAAAAAATGGCCCCTAAAATTGCTGGGGACATGCGAGCTACCTGCCCAGCATTCAATGGAAACAGGGCTAACTTGGAGAAACACATTCTTGTCTCCCTGGCAGAAAATGAAAATTTTGATGATTACTGGGAGTACATTCATAATCCTGAATCATTTTTTAGGAATTACATTCAAAGACATATTGAAAGATATTGTTCAGAACAAAGGAATAATAAAATAAAGACTTTTTTAAAAATAAGTGTAGATGACATCAAGAATGCCATCCTCTCAGCTATTCATGAATCCACAGCAATAGCCAAAGATAAAAGCAGCACTGCGTCTGGGTGGTTGGATTTGTTCTGTGATCACTTGGGGAGTAACTTGAACTTTCCACGAAAAGACTTGGTAAGCATTGAACACCAGGAGATTAAAGATATTGAGTTTCTCAAAGAAGCCATGAGTCAAGCTTTGGATCCCGCAATGAACACAGTGGAACAGGAGTGTTTGAGTAAGACTGAAGAAGGAATGGTTTCTGACATTCAGAAAATGCTCTCTGAGCATCTCTGTGGCTGCTGGAAACAGTGTCCCTTCTGTGAAGCAATTTGTACAAACACAATCCCTAACCATGACGGAGACCACAGCGTTCCTTTCCACCGTCCTCAGGGTATCAATGGATGGAGATGGATTAACACAGACTACCTTATCATAGACTACTGTACTAGTTTGGTAGCAAGTGATTGTAATTTTATTTTGGATTGTGGTCTTAAAACCCCATATAAGACCTATCGACAGGCAGGAGGGGAATATGCCACATGGAGCATCACCCCAGACACATCCACCCAGACATATTGGAAATGGGTTGTCTGTCACTTCAGAAAGGAGCTAGAAGAAAAATATCAGAAAAAATTTACAGGTAGAGGTGAAATCCCTCATGCATGGACCAATATCACAAAGCAAAATGTGCTTGATGACTTGGAAAAGCAATAATACTCAATGCCCACAAAAGAGTACCAGTATCTAAACAACAGTCACAGTACCTGAACAATCCAAAAATACCTCTTCCTCACAATGAGAAACTTTATTTCCATTTTTCAAATGAAATGACTAAATATAAATCAATTAACATTTCAAGAATTTAAAATTTCCTGTTAAAAAGACTTTCTTTTTCTTTATCTCAATTCCTTCTGGTTGAAAAACAAATTGCTAAACTATATTAACATAGAATAAAATCAAATAATATCTATTTAAAATTCCTACTTCATATTTTAAGCTATTATGCAGAATGCTTTTTATTTTAAAATATATAATATTATATGCTATCTCAGAGAAAGTTGTTTTCATGGAGGGAAATCAAAATCATTATAGACAGCTATAAATTTCTATAGATTAACTATATGAACATTTCAAATGAATGTACAGTTCTTGGCTGAATGCTACAAATTGCTCTGAAATCTTGAGAAAAATATTGATGGGGAGATGATTCCCAAGCATAGTGATATTTAGACATATTGTGTTCTGGGAAATAATAACACAGACTTGACAGAGCCTGTATCAATTCAGGAAACATTATTAAGCAAATATATACAATAGAAATTAAATTATTGTTTTTCTCATGTAAGTAACACCTTCATCTTCTCTGGCACCTTGGCAGTCCCCTGTGCCACGCTTAAATAAAACATAAAGGTTCGTAAGAGCTTAGGTATTCAAAGCCTGGTATTTGTAAAAGCTTAAAAAGAACTGGCTTTTGGAACAAGGTGTATGAGCAGGTGAGAAGGGCCACTTTAATCATGGCTGTCAACAAGGGTCAGATTTCATTATGCCATTAATAATTTTAAAAACTATTCCTTTAAAAATAAAATAGCAAAGAATATATAGTTTTTAGATTCTGATTATCTCAATAAGATATTCTTTTATATACTAAAATGTAAGGAAATGCTTATCTCCAAAATAGGCACCTTTGTGACTTTTTGCACTGTATGAGTCATAGGATCATGATCAGAATACAAATGAAAAACTCTGATGGTAACGAAGAATCTGAGAGGGGAAAGAAATCACCAATCTGCACCCTGCAGCTTCTACAACAATGACTTATGCTAGATTCTCAAAGCTAATGACTTAAAGTAATCTTGATACAAAGAAAATGTCTTCATGTTGGACATTAAGAAGATTCAAGTCTTCCCTTTACAGGCACACTCTCTATCCCTCCATAGCCAGTGGAAACAGACAGTGAACAGCAGTCAAAAACTTGCATCTTCAGAGCTGGGAGACAGTGCTGATTCCGCTTTGAATCCCCAAAGAGCTTCAAGAATACTCTCAGTTTGAGGTCAAATGACCCATGTCGGCAAAATAAATCCTTGAACAGAAAAATTATAAAGGAAACAGGTGTCCTAGAGCAGTATAGTTTCCCTTTTGTTCTCTGGAAAATAGACTCAGTAAGAGTTGGAAGGACCTCCTCATATGATTATATTCAAATGGTGACAGAAACAGAACCCCTTGCATAGCATGGTCCATGGCTCTCACAAGACAGCACCCCCTGAAACTGCGATGTTCAATTAACATTTGCTGAATGCTTTTGTTATTTGTTTAATGAATCAAGAATGGCCTTTTAAGAGGTATCATGTCTCATATATTAACTTTGATTTTCAATCTAAAATTGTTGTCTATGAATAAATATCACCTTTGATAAATTCCTCAGACATTTAAGCAGTGTGATTATTAACTGAGATTTAGGCCAGAGCCTGTGCCTCTGAGGCAGAGTGGTCACCATATGTCTCCAATTCATGCCTGGGTCTCCATCCATCACCTCTCAAAACCTCTGGTCACACACACTTAAGGAGATGCCCACCTTGCCTCTGTTGTGTGTGGAACCACCTGGTCTTCGGGTAGAAAAATGTTAAGTGGTGCTGCCATCAAGGATTTCCCTGTAAGAATCAGCCATATACCTGACCCAGACCACTGTGATGGGGGCACAAGGTGGTGAGCAGGGCCTTTGTAAAAGCCCGGAAGCAAAAGTGAGCAGCCAGCTGGGCAGCAGCTGATGCCCCCGGACATGCCTGACCCCAGTCTGCAGCCCCTCTAACCTCTCCCTACAGCCTCCAGTGTTCACAGTAGATTGTCAATGTCCTCAAGCTAAACCCTGAGGAGATACAACAGAACTAGAAGCACCTATTCAAGGTAAATACTAAGTCTGTGGGCAGCTCTTTCACCTGCGGTTAAATGTGGTCCCAGCAAAGGTGCCCCTCCAGGAGGAGGTTTCAGTCTAGGCCCAAGAGGGCAGAGAGAGAGAGAAGAGGCCCAAAATGTGACCACTTGGCTCCCACCCCACTCTTCCCGTCACCTTCAATTTGTAGCTAAATGTCTTTTACACACACACACACACACACACACACACACACACACACACGAGATTCAGAGGCTGTGATGCTGTGCTGAAGAGATTAACAAAAAAAACTGACATGAAATAAATGGAAACAGGAAAGAGTAGGTACGAGTGGGTTTTCTGCCTTCAAAGAGGGATCAAGATTAAGGTGATTACAGTATCATTAGGTTGGGGTCCCTGAGGGAGAAGCCCTCAAAACCAATGTAGTAGGAGGAATGGAGTCAGTAGGAAGGAGAATCACAGGATCACCATGAGTAGGAGGCACTGGGTCCAGGTGTAGCTCACAGGACTAGAGGCGGTCAGACTTGCAGGTCAGTAGAGACAAGGTCAATGGATTGGGACTCTAAAAAGTCATTGAAAGTAGGGGACATGACAGGAATTGGGGTTACCACATCCATAGATTTGGAGGATTTCCAAGGTACGTTAAGCAAAAGATCCCAAGTGCAGTGGAAAAGAAGGAATCAGAAGGCCTTTAGATATGGGACAAGAAAAGTGATAGATTCTAAGACAAAATCAAACATCACGAATAAGATGTAAGTATCTTGCCCTGATAGGTTAGGCTCAGTGGATGGAGCATTGGCCTGGGGACGAGGGGTCCCAGGTTCAATTCCAGTCAAGGGCATGTGCCTTGGTTGCGGGCACATCCCCAGTAGGGGGTATGCAGGAGGCAGCTAATCGATGTTTCTCTCTCATTGATGTTTCTAACTCTCTATACCTCTCCCTTCCTGTCTGTAAAAAATCAATAAAATACATTTTTTTATAAAAAAACAATGTAAGTTTCTTAAAGGAAGATGAAAACTTGCACTGCAGTGTTTTTATTTTTTACCAAAACACCTTTATTTTCATCTTCAAATAACTGTTCTTTTTCTTTTCATGATAAACATGATTAATTTACAAAGATGGCCTATATATTGCCTCTTCAATGAGAAATTTCACTTCATATAATCCAGACATGGAACGGTGTGTTATTGTTTTTTTCTAGAGAGAGGAAGGGAGAGGGATCGAGGAATAGAAACATGGATAAGAGAGAACCATCATTAATCAGCTGCCTCCTGCACATCCCCTACTGGGAATTAAACCCAAAACCCTGGCATGTGCCCTGACCGGTAATCGAAAAGGCAACTTCTTGGCTCATGGGTCGATGCTTAATCACTGAGCCACCCTGGATGGGCTTGAAAGGTTTAAAAATATATATTTTGTTGGCATTGTAAGACAAAACAGAAACTAGCATAAATTAAGGGAATCCATTCAGATTCTTCTTCTCCAGGAACCAGTATTGTTATACTATTTCCATTCAGCAAAATCTGGTCTAATTTAGTAATCCTTCTTCCTTCTGACTTCATTAGAGGCAACAGCTGCAATGGGTTAGTGGTAGCCTTACAAAAGTGGTCTGCCTGCATTGAGAAGTTTTGAAGTAGATCTCTCTCTCTCTGTCTGTCTCCCAGAGGATAAAAATATGAGAAATTCCAGGGAATGTGTGTGTTATGGATTAAATGTTTGTGTCCCTACAATAATCAGCGAGAGATGAGTTCGGTAGGGCAGTGCTCTCATAATGGGATCAAGTGCCCTTGTAAGAAGAGACACCACAGATTCTTTCTCTCTCTCTCTCTCTCTCTCTCTCTCTCTCTCTCTCTCTCTTTCTCTCTCTCTCTTTCTTTTCTCTTTCCCTCTCTCCCCACATGCATAAACCAAGGGAAGATCATGAGAGCACACAGCAAGAAGGTAGCCATCTGCAAGCCAGGATGCAAGCCCTCACCAGGAACTGAATCAGCCAGCATCTTGAGCTTAGATGCTCAAAAACTATGGGAAATAAGTTTCTATTGTCTAAGACACACAGTCTCTGGTATAATGTTATGGCAGCCTGAGCTGATTACAACATGGTGTGTTTAAAGATGACCCCCTTAAGTTTGGTATGCTCTTCCATTGGACTATGTGGAAAGACATATGGAACATACCATTTTCCCCATTTCCTCAAAATTGCAATTCTCCTTAATCATTCTAGCCCTTCTCTAAGGTCTCAGAAAGCCATTCAACCATTTGAAGTAGTGCTGTGCTATGTAAGTGGACAAGGAGTGAAGGAAAGCTTGTATACTATCACTGACACTGTCATGATAATTACTAATCTGCTGTCTTTGCAGTAGTAGTAGTGCCTGAGAAACCTTGGGCATGTAATTTAATCTCTCTACTCAAGTGCCCTGTCTCTCATGCTATTGTTGGGGAAAATAAATGAATTGCTATATAGAAGCATTTAGTGCCATATACTGAGTAAGTATACTCTAAGTTATTATGTTATACTTCCTCTCCCAACTTCCTTATTCCTTTGCTTTTGAGTAACATTTCATTATAACCACACTGATAGGCTGAGATAGTCTCATCTGGGCTTCACTGGCAGGAATATTCAACAAGAACTTTTTGGCAAATCGCAGTTAAGAACAAAATAAATGTGATTTTAACTGTTAACGTAAAAAACCATTGAAACCTGTAAAGAATTTTTGTGAGTTTATTTGAGCCAAACTGTCGACATATGCCGGGAAGCAGAACCTCAATGAATTGAGATAGTGCTCCGGAGAATGGCAGGGTTACATCCGTATTTATACATGAAATTCATTGGTGACAGATTTAAGGAGGCGGGATTAAGCGAAGCAGGGGGAAACCTCTGTGATAGGATAGCAGGATCAATTAACATGATAATGAAGGAATTTGTAGTATTTGTC